CCTGCTCCAAAATTAACGGCCAGCACCAAGGCAAAGCTGCGCTTGGGTAGATACCTGTTGTCATTGCTTGAGGTGTCATGAGTGGAGGATGCTGTTTTTGCCTTCCCTGGTCGTAGATTGGAGTTTGGGAAGAGTCACGCTGGTGTTGGCTTGCCTAGAACCAGGAGAAGTACCATGGTTGCCCAGGGCTAAGTCCAACATCAACAGCACCAGTTCCAATGCTTTCACCAGCCATTTGTATGGATTTCAACAAAATAAGTCCTAAAAAGCCCAGCCCCAGCCATAACTATCACCATTTATCAGCGTTATTCAGATCTGATTTATGAAGCAATTGCTTCAGAGATAAATGCGTATTTTCTCTAAGCAAGTGTTTGTGCTTCACGTTAACGGAGCACGAGGTATCCAGACAACCTCACCGTGACCACACGTTGGAGGAGTAAATCCCAACTCTCCACAGGTTTACTGAATTCAAAGTAGCAGCAGAGCCTTCGGTGCTGCCTTTTAAGCAGGAACTCCTGCTGCTCAGACAAGGAAATTACAGCCACAGCATTGGAGTGATATAATTCTGTTCAATGAACTTTTTTCCATGAGTCTTGAATGTGTTATTTCAGAAGGCTCCATTTATGGCTAAAATTAGCTATTCTGTATTTGTACTACACACCACCAGTGATCTTTGCTCGCAGCTTCGAGACGGCAGCTAAAGCAGCCTCTCGCTCTTGAGAAATGTGTTAGAAATCACAAACTGGCACCGAAAAATAAATGGTTGGTACAATCCCTGCAGTGGAAATAGGTCTCTAAAGGGAAAACCCTTTGCAGTTCTATTTTCCTTCCTGTGGAAAAAAAGAACATTTGCCCAAAGAAAAATGCTGAGGGGGGAAAATAACTCTGGTAAAAGTTTTATAAAAATCCCCAAAATTGCTTATAATGAAAGAATTTCAAAACACCTGTGTGTTTATTCTATTACTGACTTGTCTCTTGAGGTTTTCCAGATTTTTCCTTCCTAACACCTTCGCCAAGAAAGCCAGAGAAAATAAATATTTAAGTCATACGAGGAAACGACCAAGTGTGCTGTTTGCCATCCCGTGAATACAGAGAGCCCAGCACACCAGATATAATTAACACAAAACCCCATGGACTTTCCCAGCCTCATGGCCTTGAGCTCCTCCTGCAGAGCTCGGTGGGCATCCTTTCCCCAAAAAGCATAGAAAAGGCAATAAGGGATTTTCTTTTTTGCTGGAAAATACTGAAGGGAAAGGCAAAGAGCTGCAAGATAAAGATCAGGAAGAGAAAAACCCTACTTTGCGTGATTTCCACTGGCACAAGGCCTACTGCAGGATTTAATCCCAACCCACCTGGATCTGGCAGTAGGTGCCAAGAGATGCTGATGTGTTTGAGGGTACAGCATCCTTTTCCATAGGACCAACTCTCATCGGTTCAGCTGACCCGTTTTAACATCCATCTCCACTTGCAGGACTCGCCCTGGGAAGCTGAACCTGAAAGTTTGTCAAAGCAAGGAGGAGATTGAGCTCCCAATGCACACTTGACCCAGGCTGGAGCAGATGGAGCTCTTGCAAAGGGAGATATCCCAAACCTCATCCTTGCCAGCCTGCGGAGTGCAGGATTTATTCCCTCAAACCGGGATGTGGGTTTACCCCTGCGACTGCACAAATTCATCTGCCTCCTGGGCGCTTTGCTCTCCGAGGGGATTGGTTCATGCTGCCAGTCAATGCAATCTGCGTTCAGAAGGGCTCAGAGGCTTTGGATGTCATTAAGGTAAAATTACCATCAGATTTGTGGGAAAGTGTAGAAGCTTAGCTTCAAAAAAAAAAGCCCAGACAGTGATTTAATCTGAAACCAACTGTACAAGGAATGCAGTGAAACAGCTTGCATATGTAGCAAGGCAATTGTACACCTCTCTGCCATGAAATGCCTGAAGCGTGATGATTACATTGCGATGAAGGTGCAAGGACCATCCTTTAGTGCTAGATCTAGGTAGGAAATAAAGGTTTTCATTTAGAGTCCATGGAAAAGCATGGTTGGGCAGGACACAAAGCGATTGCTCAACTCAGTCAAAGCCAAGCATTGCAGCCTGGTTTCCTAATCTGTCAAAATAACACCATTTTTACCTGTTCTAGCCCCTCTGTCCCTCAGGAACAGTGATCAACGCTCCCCAAATTTGGTTTGAAGGCAGTAAGTACAAGAGACAGCCCTCCCCGCTTCCACCAGTGGGAATAACACAAGCCCTTCCCAGTGAGGAACCACGCATTTTTGTCCACAGCAAGGGGATCTCTGCTTTTTTTCTCCTATGAGCAGCGTCAGTCAAGATGCTGCTATACAAGGTTATTTACAGGTAAGCAAGGGTGAAGAGCAGGAAAACGCAGGAGTCACCAAATTGAAGAAACATTTCTACACCGTGTGAAACGTGAAGCAGGTGAGAGCTTTGCAGGAGTCCTACGAAGGTGACAGATGCAAATTTGAGCAGTGGAGTGTTGGGGTCACTGCCGTTTCTAATCGCAGGCTGGGATGGGTGTCCAAGTATTTAGCAATTTACTAACAAAACCTTGTAATTAAGCTTCTGTTTTCTTCCTACATCTGTAAGCTGTGAGAGTGAGCAGTATGAAGGCGTACGTACATGCAAACACACATAACTGAGTGCATATTACAGAGAAACGTGTACAAGAAACCACCATGATTTTATACGCCATGGGAAAGCCAGGGGATGTTTCTCCAGAGAAATCACCACCTTTCAAGCTGATCTATGGACTGAAGAACCAAGGAAAGCAAGTCTGTCACCAAAAGGCTCAAAATAAACCATGCAGGTGTCTGCAAAGCCAAAAAAAGCAAAGTAACAGCCCAACAAGTCAGAGAGATGGACAAGCACTGCCCAAACACATAAAATGACCCACAAAACCATGGAAATGGTGCTTTCCAGCGATGCATCCATTTGCTGATAATAAAAATTCCTAGTCTATATATCCTCTATGCCTGGAGGATTTCTCTCCTCTGGTAATAATAAGGAGGGGCAGTGGATATGGCAGAAGATGCTGCTGTCAATTTGATCTGAAGTAACATTGATTTCTTTAAATGCTCTCTTCTGCTCTAATCAAAAGGTATTAAGCCTAAATAATAGAAATCAAACAGCAGAATATATGATCTGATCCTTGTTACCTTAAGTGTGGTCTGAAGCATCTTTCCACTTCACAGGAAACTTGTTTCTCTTATTTTGCTGCTACGTGAAGCAGTAACAGCTTTAAATTTTAACTCGGGACAGGTCGGAGCCAGCAAAATGTCCCAGAGTAGTCAGGAGATGCTAGACAAGAACTCAAAACCTGCCTCCTGGTCACGAATACACCAAAATTAAAGATGCTCACACTTCTACCTGCCAATGCACACAATCCTGTAAGCAAACAGAGGATTTGGAGACTCCCGTAGTGTCAATCCTAGCTAATTCCAGAAATATTTGGTGATGCTTCCTTTTGTAAGCATTTGTGACAGTTGTAATGTATTGAGACTTTCCATATGTTGTGTTCCTGTTCTGCTGGCTATAAATTAAAAAAATCTAAGTAAATTTGGAAATAAAGGAAAAATTCTAGGTTTCTCACAAAAACCAGAAAATATTTCATTGCATCAGTAAAGCTTCATGATTTTTAATTGAAGGCAAAGGTTTTTAGTAGCTTTTCTTCAATGCTGCCTACCTGTGAGTGAGTGGACTTTGCTACAGGTCTTGCTGCTGGGTTTTGTGCTCCTGAGAATCACCAAAATAAACGTCATGAGTTGGATGTGGAAACCTGGTACTTCATGGGCACGAGGCTCTGCTTTTCTTTATGATTAAAGCTGGACCTTATTTGCTGTCAGACAGATCACAACCCAACAGCCTTATTTGTAACAAAGCTGTAATGAAAAGTGCAAAGTCCATTCCCATTTATTTTTACTAGAACATTATCTATTTTTTTAAAATAAATAAACCCACACCCTTTGTTCTTATGCGGAAGCTGTTACAGTAAATGAAAATACCTGCTGCTACACGCTGGCTAAAGGGCACGACTACATCCTTGCTTCACTCCAATCATCGACGTGCCACATGTAAAACCAAATAGAAATTAAGACTTTTTTTGTTATTAAAAGGCTCCAGACCTCAAGGATCTTTGTATCAATGTAATCATAAGGTATGTCATATACACATAGCGTGCGTGTGTGTGTCTAGTGAGAGAGTGTGTGTGTGTGTGTGTGTCTAGTGAGAGAGAGTGTGTGTGTGTCTAGTGAGAGAGTGTGTGTGTGTGTGTGTGTCTAGTGAGAGAGAGTGTGTGTGTGTCTAGTGAGAGAGTGTGTGTGTGTGTGTGTGTCTAGTGAGAGAGAGTGTGTGTGTGTCTAGTGAGAGAGAGTGTGTGTGTGTCTAGTGAGAGAGAGTGTGTGTGTGTCTAGTGAGAGAGAGTGTGTGTGTGTCTAGTGAGAGAGAGTGTGTGTGTGTCTAGTGAGAGAGAGTGTGTGTGTGTCTAGTGAGAGAGAGTGTGTGTGTGTCTAGTGAGAGAGAGTGTGTGTGTGTCTAGTGAGAGAGAGTGTGTGTGTGTCTAGTGAGAGAGAGTGTGTGTGTGTCTAGTGGTATCTAGTGAGTGAGTGTGTGTGTAGCGTGTGTGTATATCTGTATATTTGTGTATATGCGTATATGTGTGTGTATAGCACGTGTGTATCTAGTGAGTGTATGTGTGTATGTGTGTATATAGTGCAAGTGTGTATAGTGTGTATATATAGTGTGTGTATGTATATAATGTGTATGTATACATATAGTGTGTGCACATATATATGTATAGTGTGTACATACGTATGTATAGTATACACACACACACACACACATATAGCGCTATGCTCTCCCCTTCCTCCCAACCCCCCTCCTGGTCCAACCACCAGCCTACCTTTAACAAATCATCCATTTGAGCAGCATTGCTGTATTCTGGCGAGTTATTTCACCGACAGGGAACCTGACAAATACGAAGATATAAATAACAGGATTAAATAAGATTTTATTGTCACATTTAACTGCTTTGTCAGAGATGTACATTTTGCAGGTTTTTGTGCGGAATAAAAATAAAGATAAACCCGGATAGTTGCCATCTTGTTAATTCTGCTTCCAACACCCCCACACCTGGACCACAGGTGCCTGCAGTAACACCAGAGCCCGTCCTGTTAAATGGATTGCAACACTCCAAGATGAAAATGCATCGAGTTAAGGCTAAGGAGAGTAATGTAAAATAGTTAGAACAGACCACGACATGTTGAGAGGTGGAAACGCTCGCTAGAAGAGTGGTGACTTTAACAACTCATTTTTTTCCAAAGTCGTTTTGCTTCATTTAGTGCAGGTAAGGAGAGGTGAATGAACAGACTTCTGCCTACATATACAACACGTACTGAAATTTTAGTCCTTTGTAAATCTGATATATTTAAACTTAAGTGACTGCTCTGTTCTTCTGGGTGTAAACCAAAGGAGTGGTCATTGACACCTCAAAGTGATAAATGCTTAAGAGAACTTCATCTTCAAATGTGTATTTGCTCATTTACAGACCAGGGATCAAGTCCAATAATACAAACTTCTCAGTGGCACAATTTCACATATTTTGGGCAACGTTAGCATACAAGCAGTATTTAAATAAAAATAAGTGCATCCAAACATGAAATTCTCTAAATATACCACACTTCATTTATCCCAAATGGCAATTTTCTGACAAGAGCTGTAATTCAAATTAAAATAAACATTTACACATTTCATCCAGCGGAAAAGAGGTAATAAACCCAGGGGACTCTCCGTACAATCTTCTCCTACCTTATCCCCTACTTATTACATGAAATAACTCATCTAGAAGTGTAAATCCAATATTCAGATGCAAATGAAACGCACGAAGCAGTCTCTGATGTTTGTAATTTGCAGCCTCCAAAGTCCAATCATGATGGAATTTACTACTCCTGTCAGTCCTTGGCTCTTGTATGTGCACTTCGTATTTATGCTAAAATAACAAATGAGACAATAAATGAGGCTAGTGTGGCATAAAGTCATTGTAAACCCAGCGAAACCGGAATAATTCTATTTCTGACATTCATTCGGATGATTTACCAGCCATCCCACCCCCCTACCCTTTACAGAAAAAAAGGCAACCATCATTTTAAGTGATACACACATTCTGCTAGTACAAAAAGTTGAAACGAACCCCTTCTCTGTTAAAAGAACATGCCCATAAAGAAGGTCGACCACATCTGTTCCAATCAGGCTTCTCTGAATTATCAAAATTTCTTTGCTTGCAAAGGCCAATTTGGCTTACCATAGAAAGCTATTTTGAAGGCGGCTGATATATTTATTCCCTTTCAAAAATTAAAATTCAAGGCATGATAGTGCAAGAGGTAAGTTTTGATTTGAGAACATTACTTGTAGACTAACTGTGCTTAGTTACTACATCCCAATTTATTGTCTTAAAGAAAATACGGCAACAAAAGCTACAAGATCTCTATAAATTTCATTTTGCCTAAGTTTACCAGTACATCCATGAACCTCATCGGTATTAGTACAACTTGATTATCCTAATGATTCCATTATAAAACTTGCAAAATGTATCACAAGGTGAATAAACCATCTAGTGCAAGTCTTCTACGTTTTGGGTGCACAGTAATCCTGTGTAGTTCATTTCCTCCAGGTTAAATCCCCAAAATCTTTCTGTAACAACTGTGAAAAAACAGTGTCGTGGATTTTCTTCGGCCCCTATCAAATCTGAGAGGTTTGAGTGTTCCTGGAATCGCCATCGGGATGTGCTGAAGGTCGGGAATCCCTCGTCTGTGAGTATTCACTGTCGGATGACTCCGTAGGTTCGAGCAAATTTTCATAATCACTGTCTTCTGATTCCTCAACATTGTCACCAACTGCTCTTTGGGAAGATGGCATGGATGCTCCATTACCAGAATATTTCAATCCTGCGTTTGTGGAAACGTAACTGGAAGAACCTACTGCTTGAGGTCGAGGCATGAAAACATTGCTTTCTAGGAGGCTGTGCCCCACAGTACTTTCTTGACTGCTCGCGTTGAAATCGGAGTACGGAGGAGGAGGATCGGAGACGTCTGAATCTTCAAGCGTGCAGCCCTCCACAGCAAATCCAGTGTAGGACATTCGTGGAACAAACATAGGCTCCAGGTTATCTGCTGGCATTTGCCTGCTTAAAATTGCTTGCTGCATTCCTACAAAAGCAAAGAACATCGGTGGATTTAATGCTCAATTTGCACTATGCTTTCCATAACCCGGCTGTAATGTACCGCTCCCACCCAGCCTTTGGCTGGTCCCTCTTCTTTCTTCCTGGTTGTTACTGCTAAATGCTCATTCCTGGCACTGCTTTCAAACTCCTGCACTAGATCTTTTCCTCTCACTACTCATCTTTGGCAATTCTCATTTTCGTACTGATGACTATAAGACACTATCCCTGGCCGTCATGTCAAATCCTGCTTATTACTAAGACCCACTCTTTGAGCTTGACAAAGAATATCCTCCCTCACGGTGCATCCATGAAACTAACTGGTATTGGCACAACTTGGTTATCCTAATGATCCCATTTCAAAACCAAAATGCGTTAGAAAGCAAACAAACTAAGTGCAAGTGCGGTACCTTTTCATGTGCACAGTCATCCCACACAGTTCATTTCCTCCACTTTAACTCCCCTCAAAGCACAGCCACAGGAAGTTTCCATGACCTGTTGCTCTTCCCATCTCACCTCTGTACTTCTCTGGTCCTTCTCACACCAAAAAGTAGCTATGCTGGTGCTCCCCGTGCCTGCTCCTCTCCACCGATGTCTTAATTGGTGCTGATAGCTTGGCTCAATTTTGATCAGCCAGTACCAGCATTTACCGTTGATATTACAATCGCATCTCTCCAATTTATTTTACAATGCTCCTTGTGCTAGGGGACAATCTCATGAGCACCAGCAAAGAAGTCACCATGTTCTCATCCCTCAAATTATTATTTTAAAAACAGACACAATCAGTGAAATCTGTTCCCTATGACAATCTATACCTCCATGGTTTGACTTGTAACTAACTGTGCCGTTAGATAGTTGCTAGAAATACATTTGTCCACCAAGGATAGGGTCTCTTCCCAATCCATGTGGTTTTAACAAGCAAAGCAAGACCAAAACCCACAGATCTCTCTTGCCTTCAAGGATTTCACAGCACCTCCATGTTTCTTAATGAACAGACAGGAACAAAAGCACTATGAGGACAATAAAATAGCTTGAAGAGCTGGTTAAAGAGCAATTACAATGGTTAACAGTCACACAAGATGCGTCAAGATGAAGCTCCCATAGCTCTGCGCCGGAACTATACTCGTATTAACAACCTAAATGATTGAATTCAATCAGCACACGCTTATTAAAATTACAGATGGTATTATGCTACTAATAGCTCAAGTATAACAGAGACTATATCAGAACAGGAATTTTAAAAGGATCTTAAATGAAACGATTTGGAGAATAGTTTCAGGAAGACATGCACAGGAATAATGAGCTGCTCAAAGAGCAAAATGAGGAGCGGTTACGTCCTCGTGCAGAAAAGAGACAGGTTTACTGTTGATTTATGTAAATATCAATATGCATTAAGTGTGCTCAGCTGCTGAGATACAGGTATTACTTCAGTATGCACTGTAACGGTTAAGGCTACAATTGGAGTGCTGTGTCTAATTTGGAACACCACAGTTTGAGAAATAGGGAAAAACTGGAGAAACTCTGCAACAGAAAAGGACTCGTTAGAGGTCTAGATGTCATGACTGCCGAGGAAAGTCTGAAATAATTGGGATAATGAGAGAAAACGGAGGAAACAGTCTCAGTATTCAAACACACAGAAGAAGCTGCTGTGGAAAGGTAAGCAGAAGGCAGCTACATTAGAGTAACCTATATTAGACATGAGGAAAAACTTCTTTGCAGGAAGGTTTGTTAAGCACTGGGAGAAATGTAAGTTTTCGAGTGGTTTCTAACTGGTTGTTAACCTCCAAACCTCTGCCAGAATTGACACTGGAATATGTAAAGCTGCAGCTATGCGATAGACAAAATGGTATTGGCTCTACTGACCGAAACACCACACTTCTGGAAAAAGCAAAAGATCAAGGCTGAGGAGCGCATAACAGCACTGCAGTTTTGGTCCTCAACACGAGTGCTGCGGTGGGAGATGTCCTGGCATCTGGGAAGTGCACAGCACTTATAACACCCTAGAAAACGCTACTATGTGCGCAAAATTACTTCAGTGAAAATTATTTCAGGGATCTGGCAAGCCTCAGCTGACTTTTATGCTATTAAGTCCTAACCTGTTAACCAGAAATTCGTAAGAATAACAGGCTTTCACACAACACTACCACAGGAATTGGAATCAAATGCTCCCTTTTCCTCCAGCTCAGAGGATGATTAACATTTAACTCGCTAAACACAAGGAAATTCTCCCAATATCAAGAAAGCGAGAGAACAGAAGGCTTACTTCAGTATTTAGCTACTCACATCTAAAAATATTGCAGAGATCCAAGCTGCCTGTTTTCTTCTTTCAGCTCTCTCACATGATTATCTGCTCTGGCACAAATTTGCAGTCCGGCATTTGCATCTCACTGGTAGTATCTAGAGGCCACAACCAACTGCTCTTCCTCCTCCTCCTCCTCCTCCTCCCTCAGCTTTTGCCATACGGGCTGGGATCAGCTCCAGCCACATGAAAAACCCATCTCTGCATCTCGTTTGCTTGTGTAGTAGCGGTTCCCTGGCTGTTTCATCCGCAGCCAAGCAGGAAACAGTAGAGACTCACAGCACTTCCATCTCTCAAAGGGTCTGGAGCTGATGCTGCTCTTTACCTTATCTTTGAAGGCAAAACCTTAGGGAAGTGGGCTGATAAAGCAAAGTTTGAGCCAAAATGCACATGTGATAACAGTACCTTGCTGCCTGGAGAAAATAAAAATATCATAGCAGCAAAGGGCCCTGTTGCCCAGTTCAGGGTGCTGACCCATCCAAGTGATCTTTTAGTCTCAGACACAGCTTTAGAAACAAGACACAGAACCAATAAAAAACCATCTTGTAGCTACAATTACCCAATTTAGTTATTTTCTTATAATTTCAAAACATGGAATAAAAAGGAGGCAGTGTTTGCTAAAACGGGTAATTTGCTTATGAATTATTCTTATTTTTTAACACTACTTCCCATTTGCCTATTCTCTGCTCCTACTCTCTACCTTCAGTCTTCCCTTACACTCTCAGATCAAATTAGATCAGCAATTTCTCCTTGGAAATGTTCAGGCTCTTCACAAAACCTATCTGCTGCTAAACTAAAGACTCCTGAAGCCACATGCAAATTTTAGGAAGGAGGGACAAGTAAAGCAAGCTCACACAACAGGTCTCACTGATGCAGAGAATTAAGAAGATGAACATACACCTATTC